CGTCCTCATCCTCATCCTCATCCTCATCCTCATCCTCATCCTCATCCTCATCCTCATCCTCATCCTCATCCTCATCCTCATCCTCATCCTCATCCTCATCCTCATCCTCGTCCTCATCCTCATCCTCATCCTCATCCTCATCCTCATCCTCATCCTCATCCTCATCCTCATCCTCATCCTCATCCTCATCCTCATCCTCATCCTCATCCTCATCCTCATCCTCATCCTCATCCTCAATCCTCATCCTCATCCTCATCCTCATCCTCATCCTCATCCTCATCCTCATCCTCATCCTCATCCTCATCCTCATCCTCATCCTCATCCTCATCCTCATCCTCATCCTCATCCTCATCCTCATCCTCATCCTCATCCTCATCCTCGTCCTCGTCTCTCCGTCAATGCTTTCCTTCCTCCCCTCCCCGCTCCTCCCCCTCCATCCCTGCCGCTTCTTCCCCTCTCGCGTCCGCCTTAAACAACATCGTTCCCCACTTCCCCCTGCCTCTCCCCTGCCCGCCCCGCCTATCGTTCACTCCCGCCCTCTGCCCCTCTCTCTCTCCTCCGCGCCGCCCTTCCCCGCGCCCAGCTCCGCGTCCTCCGCCACCTCCAGCGCCGACGCCGCAGCGCCCTCGTGCTCGCCCTCCCCCCCCTCGTCTCCCTCCACGGCGCGCGTCTCGTCCAGCGCGCGCTGCACCACCTTCGCCTTGCGCCCGCCGCCTTTCAGGTCCACCAGCGCGCGCTCCTCCATCTCCCCCTCCTCCCACTCCCACTCCCCCTCCTCCTCCGCCTCCCCCCCGAACTCCCCCAGCAGGTTCCCCCCGCCCTGCGCCTTCGCCTCCACCAGGTCCTTCAGCTTCACACCCTGCGCCTGCGCGCCCCCCATCGCCACCATGCGCCGCGCGATATCCCCCCCCGCCAGCGCCGCCCCTCCGCCGCGCGCGCCCTCGGCGTGCGCCAGCGCGCCGTCCCCCGGCAGCAGGTCGCGGTCGCCGGAGCCCTCCACGGAGATCACGCTGCGCCTCTTCCGCCGAGCCACGTCTTTAGGTTTGGGCCGCTCCACCACGAGGCCCCGAACCTGCAGCCTCCCCGCGCTCGCCGCGGCCAGGTCTGCATCGCGGGGGGGCAGGCGGCGGGGCGTGTAACCAGTGGTAGCAGAGCCAGAGTGTGACTATAGCGAAGGCGCACGCCTGGATTACGTGCGCCGCGCGGATTCCGTACCCCGCCTTGTGCGCGCCGCCGTGCCAGCGGGATCGCAGCGAGGCGCGCGCGGAGTGGTGGTGCGACGAGGAAGTCATTGGGAACGCGCTTGTGTAGGTGCTTGTTGACGAGTCACGGCACTTGCTAGCTGTGCTGGGTGCAATGGCGTGCTCCGCACTGACTTGCCTGCTCACTTGGGCTTTCCTTGTGACGCGGCGCGAGCGCACGGGTGATGAACGCAAGAACGAGGCTGGCGGGGAGACGGCGGGGAGCGGGAAATCCGCGGGGGATGACGGCGGGGGGAGAAGCAGTGCTATGCGGGAGACTACCGGCGTGCTGCCAGTGCCCATCGCAGCCACTCTTGGGCGGCCCGCGCGTCGTCGCAATGCTTCCAGTTCATGGCAGCGCGGCGGCGGCTACATGGGTGGCACGGGTCGCCGCAGGGCAAAGCAGCCCGGTGGGCCGAATGTGAGGGCGCGCGCTGCGTGGTGCTGCGTGGACTCAACGTTCACCTTGTGTTAGGCGGCCAGATGGCTTTTCTTGGACGCCCATCGCACGCGTAATAAGGGCCTTTTTGTCGGCAATTGACGCTATGAGTGCACTTGTGCAGAGAAGGATTCGAAATGTGAGCGTGGATGAGTAGTGAGGGGAATCGGGGGAAAGACATGCACGCTCGCATTTCCCAAGTGTTGGTTGGGTTGTATTGGAGGGTGAGGGGGATGTACAGTTATATCACCAACTTCTCAAATCCCTAAATATTCTTGTAACTTCTGATCCAGGTTCGGGTTGGTGATAAAACTGCGCCTCGTCCCCTTTGAATGATCCGCGTCTCCATTCGTACGCCTCACCGCGCGTCCTCTCCTCGCAACACACACCACCGCGCGGCTCCGCAGTGGCTACGTTCATGTCGCCCGCATAGGAGATGGTGAATGGGGATGCGCTGCCCCTCCGATTCCGCTATAAGCCGCTCGATACAAGCACAGGCAGCTCGCTGCCGAGCCACCAACAGCCGTTCAGCTCCGTGACCGTTCCGCGCAAAATGCCGCTGCACGCGCGGACCAGCGCCGCGCGGAGAGCGGTGGGCACCGCGGGTTCCGCGCGCAGCATGCGGTACTTCCCGCTGGTGGGGCCCGCCGTGCTCGGCGCGCTGTACCTGCTCTCGCTCCTCGCGCGCCGGGGAGCGAAACCCGCCGCCGTCGGCGCAAGCACGCAGTGGTGGGTGGCGGCGGCGGGGCTGCGCGCGTGGCGGCAGAGGCGGGCGGGCGGGCGGGGCTGGGAGGAAATGCGCGTGCAGGCAGGGAATTCCTGGTTGGGGTGACGGGGAAGGGGCTGCGCACGACCGACGGTGCGGTCATCGCGGAATGCGGAGTGGCGGAGGGAGGCGCGAGAAGTCGGGGAGAAGGAGGGGCGGGAATGCTGGGTGGTGAGGAGTGTGATGTGGCAAGTACTGGAAGCTGAATTGGTGCCCAGCAGGGGGTAACTGGGACAACTGGGGAATGTGGAATGTGGTAATTGGTGCATTACGCTCTCTCACTTCTAGCTGCCTAACTCCCCTTCACCCCCTCCTCCCCTCCGTCCCCCCGCACCCCACACCCCGTGCGCCCAGGCTATCCATCGCCTACCACCCGTCGGGCGACGGCGTGCTGCTGCTCCTCGCGCCGCCCGCCTCGTCCGCCGCGCCCCTCCCCGCGCCCTTCCCCCTGCCGGAGCGGCGGCAGCAGCGCCTGCAGCTGCCGGCGGTGGAGGTGGGGGGGGCGCGCGTGGAGGGGCTCGTGGTGGACGGCACTGGGCGCAGCGCCACGTGGCAGGCAGGAGGGGAGGCGGAGGGAGGTGAGGGAGGTGAGAGTGGGTGTGGGTGTGTGCACTGCATGCCACAATGCGTTCTCACCAATGCCCCTGTCCCGCGCATCTCTTTCCAATGCCTCCACCACAACCGCCCTCTCACCGCCCTCTCACCGCCCTCTCACCGCCCTCTCACCGCCCTCTCACCGCCCTTTCATCGCCCTCTCCGTCATTCCACCTTGACACGACACGAGCACACGAGTTGAGCCAATGCATGTGGTGAGTCATTACTACTACTCGGTTCAACGAGTAAAGAACCCGAGGCTTGTTTCTACTACTTACCTCATCTGCTCGTATCTACCCCCCCCCCCCCTCTCCCCCCTGAGCCCTCCCTCCCACTCGAGTCAGTGGTGCCGCGTGATCGCACGCCTCCACCCTGTGAGCGCGCACTCCACCCTGTGAGCGCGCACTCCACGCCTGAAATCAGGCTCCACTCGATTCGACTCAACTCGATGATTGACTTGGAGGTGACTCGACACTTGACTCACTCATGCGCATGTGCAACTGCAATCCACCCATGCGTGCCCATCCCCTGCAGCTGCAGCCCAGCCCGCCGGGCAGAACGCGTCTGCTGCTGCGGCGCTGCCGGCGGTGGCGGTGAGGGCGAGCAGGCTGAGCGAGCACGCGGTGGTGGTGACGTGGGAGGTCACCACGCCCCTGCTCTTCCCCGATGGCGTTGACTTCACTCTGCGGGTGAGCAGCGGGTGTGTGGGGGGGAGGAGGAGTGGGACCAGGTGACAGGGACGGTGGAGGGTGAGGGGAGTTGCTAGTGGCGCTCGTGCTGTGCGGTGCTGTGAGTGGCGGGCAGCATCTGCCATGCGCACTCATCGCTCCTCTTCTATGCCCGCCCACATGCTGCCAAGCCTTGCTACTCGTCAGTACACCCTTGCTATGCACCATGTGCTCCCTTATGCACCATCTTCTATCTTACCGCTCCCTGCTCCCGTTGCGTCCCTTCCCACCACCCCATCCTATCCTCTTAGATAGCAGACAATGCATCGGGGTGGTACGGCGGTGGAGAGCGGTTCAATGCAGTGAATCAGAAGGGCAACGTGTTGCCCATGTTCTCGTTTGACCGCTTCACTGACGTCCCTGTACGTGCAGAGATGTGACTGTACGTGCAGAGATGTGACTGTACGTGCAGAGATGTGACTGTACGTGCAGAGATGTGACTGTACGTGCAGAGATGTGACTGTACGTGCAGAGATGTGACTGTACGTGCAGAGATGTGACTGTACGTGCAGAGATGTAACTGTACGTGCAGAGATGTGACTGTACGTGCAGAGATGTGACTGTACGTGCAGAGATGTGACTGTACGTGCAGAGATGTGACTGTACGTGCAGAGATGTGACTGTACGTGCAGAGATGTGACTGTACGTGCAGAGATGTGACTGTACGTGCAGAGATGTGACTGTACGTGCAGAGATGTGACTGACTGTACGTGCTGAGATTGGGCTGTGTCTGTTGAGATGTGACTGCATGTGACGTGACCTCATTGGACACTCATAAAAGCCCGCGGCCCACATTGCGGATCGCCATGTTGGGAGCTTCCATAGCAGTGGCTAAAGCTGCTGCTATGGAACTTAGTAAACGGGCAAGATTGCTAATCTTGCTCGACTTTGCTTGACCTTTCTTCACCTGCTCGACTTTCCTTTCACTTCCCAAACCACCCAGCACTCAACCTGGGCAAGATTAGTCATCTTGCGCAATTTGAGCTGCAGGCTTTAAGCCTTTCTACATAAGCATTATTACACGTGACATTAATAGTTGGGAAGGGAGATCTTCAGCTAGTGGGAAATTTCATTTTGTTTTGTGCGGAGATGCTAACTGTGTAATGAGAACATACATTACCACAAAAATATGCTGTGGCACACCTCATGCCCTTTGTCAGTTGAGTCATGGTGGGTGGTTGGGTTTGAGTGTGGAGAGTGTGGAAATACACTTGCAGGGAATGCCACGTGTGCATTTCTTGTTAAGAGGACCATCATGCACAAAGGAACAGTGTCAGGCGTGATTTGATTCGCGAGGAACAATGAGAATTTACACTGGAAATCGGATATTCGCATACTTTACACACAAGTACCTCCGGAAATATCATACAATCTACGACATTCAGAACAGATCTAGGCCGACCCAAAGCTTAAACTAGTTTTTGGCAACTGTAAACGCAAGTTGACATCAAGTGTCAACTTAGACGTAGACCCCACGCATACTCACACATGAAGTTACACACGAGCTATTACTCAACCCACTCGCCCGTCATCCCTTTCTGCCCATCTCCACACCTCCTTCCTGCCCGCATCCCCATGGTGTGTGCCTACTGCCCCCAGGCGCAGCGCAGCTACAAGCCGGTGCCGTTTGTGATGAGCAGCAGCGGGTACGGCGTGTGGGTGCAGTCCTATGCCAACGGCTCCTTCAGCCTCGGTGCCCCCGACGAGCCTGACGTGCTGGTATGGGTGGGGTGCATGGGTGGGTGCGTGCGTGCGGCTCAGAGGATGGCTATTCTATCACTCTTTCCTTCCTCTGCAACCTCTCAACCCTGCACCCCCCTCTGTCTCTCCCGCGACTCCTCTTCCCACATCACCCAACGGTGCTCAAGCCTACGTGTGATGCATGGGTGCGTGGCACTGGTGGCTGGATGGCAGTCTGTGCAGCCCACACTTCATCCACTAATCTACCTCTCCTCCTCCTCACACATCCTTTCCCTGACTCCTTTTCGGTCTCCCCCATCGCCTCGCCCCATCGTGCCTCCCCCCTCCCCCCAGGCCATCCGCTACAGGGAGCAGCAGCTGCGCGTGGTGTTCATCGCGGGCCCCTCGCTGCTCGCAGTGCTCGCCGAGTTCACACGCCTCTCCGCGCGCCCCTCCATGCCGCCCGACTGGGCCTTTGCGCCCTGGAAGGGGCGAGACGTGCATTTCAACTGCTCACAGGTGAGAGCTCTGGAATGGATGTGCATTGAGAATGCATGTATGAGCTGAGGCATGTGGGATGATGGATGGCAGCCAGAGGGGGAGCTTGTTGTGTGATGCCATCACATGCATTCACATCTGAGTCGTGCTTTATGCACTTGGTAACGCATTCTGTCTCGCTCAACTTCACGCCCAAGAGGGAAGCTCCATGTGCGAACCAATGAATGGCGAGGTCACACAATGACCCCGGTTCATGGCTGTGTGCCGTGGGTGAGAGCGTGAGCTGGCAGCGCTGGTGGACGGCATGCGTGTGCTCTGCTGCTCGCCCCACTGCTGGCGCCTGCTGTGCCGTGCAAGCACTGCACCCACCGCCGCCACTTCTCCCTGCGCGCCAACACCTGCAGGTGGTGGAAGATGCGGAGAAGCTGCGGCAGCAGGGCATACCGGGGTCGGTGATTCTGATAGACAGCCCGTGGGAGACAGGCTACAACGACTTCTCCATCAACCGCCTCCAGTTCGACGACCCGGAGGACATGTTCCTGCGCCTCCAGGAGCTGGGGTGAGTTGCGCCTCCAGGAGCTGGGGTGAGTTGCGCCTCCAGGAGCTGGGGTGAGTTGCGCCTCCAGGAGCTGGGGTGAGTTGCGCCTCCAGGAGCTGGGGTGAGTTGCGCCTCCAGGAGCTGGGGTGAGTTGCGCCTCCAGGAGCTGGGGTGAGTTGCGCCTCCAGGAGCTGGGGTGAGTTGCGCCTCCAGGAGCTGGGGTGAGTTGCGCCTCCAGGAGCTGGGGTGAGTTGCGCCTCCAGGAGCTGGGGTGAGTTGCGCCTCCAGGAGCTGGGGTGAGTTGCGCCTCCAGGAGCTGGGGTGAGTGAGCCGTTCAATCCAAGCTGCCCTCGTGTTTGCAGCGACTTCAACAACACCTCTCTCACTCACCATGCTCTCTCCGAGGCACTCCTCCTCCCTCACCGTGCACCTCCCCCCTCACCGTGCACCTCCCCCCTCACCGTGCACCTCCCCCCTCACCGTGCACCTCCCCCCTCACCGTGCACCTCCCCCCTCACCGTGCACCTCCCCCCTCACCGTGCACCTCCTCCCTCATCACCTCCTCCCACCCAGCGCCTTCCTCTCCGCCACCACCGCCGGCTTTCCCCCTCACTTCAGCTTTTGCTGATATGCTGGTCGCTGCTGCATTTCTGTTTCCCTCAACACCAGTTCAGTCATTGCCTCCCACCTGCCCTTGCACAGCCATCTAGTCCTCTCCCACTCCAGCGATGGCGACGCAGCCCCGCTTCTTCCCCCTCCTCCCCTCCTACCTTCCTCCCTCCCCTCTCTTTCCCACCGCCACCTTTGCCCCCACCCGTTTCCCCACTAACCCCCCCTCCCCGCCTGTCGCTGGCAGGTTCTACAACATCTTCTGGGCGACGCCCTTCATCAACCGCGCCAACCGCGTGGACATGCCCGGCATCACCGCGGGGCCCGCTGCCATCTTCGACGAGGCGGACCAGAAGGGCTTCCTCGTGCAGCAGGAGGGGGGCGGCTCGCAGGTGAGGGCGCGGGGCTTGCAGGTGAGGGGGGCTTGCAGGTGGGGGGAGGGTGTGTGTGGGTTGCAGTGGGAACAGTGGGTAAGAGGCGGCAAGCTGTTCAAGAGCGGGCTACGGATCGTGCTCATGAGGAAGGAAGGAAGAAGGGCAGCAGTGGGAAGAAGAGTCGTTCTAGCAAAGAGACGATAGTCACTTTGTGAAATTTGTAACCCTTGAAAACACTGAGTTAGATTTGAACGTACAGCTCAATTCAAACTCTAGAGTTAGGCAAACATGTTTCGGCTTTGCACGGGGTTCATACCCGCTAGGCCTTCATGAGTGCGAGAGTTCAAGTGAAAGAGCGAACAAGCGAGGGGTCTAAAAGAACACCCAAGCCTCGAGATCTACACAAGGAAATCCTACTCTGGGCGCGTAAGTAGATAAGAAATGTGCCAACTAGACACGAAAGAATATTCTTAGGTGGTGTCCAGTCACTCTTCGGGTTTGTCTACGGCAGTCTTCACACTGGGTGGTGGTAACCTCTGATCAATATTGCACGTTACGTGCACACTTCCAAGCAACAAAAATCTGATCAATACAAAAATTGTGGGTAGAGAGACGGCTTCTGAGGTGGCTGAAAAGGAAGTGGCAGCAAGGCGTCCAAGGGTGGGCAGTGCACATCAGTTCTCCACATCCCCCTGCCCCGGCACTGCCACCTGTTCTCCCACCTGCATGTCTCCGCAATTCACCCTTCCCAGCCTACCCTTCCCTGCCTTGGCATGGTTAATCTAGTCGAGTTTTGACGTGGCTCGATGTAAGTCAAGTCGAGTTGGTTATTGTCTTTTCTTGACTCAACTTGAGTTGAGTCGGCGTGCGGGGGAAGGTCGATGCGTCGCCAGCTCGATTGAAGACAGATGAGCCAACCATGAGTCGGCGTGTCCATTCCAGGTGTGTGCTGACTCGAGAGTCACCAACATGAGTTGTGAGAATTTATGTTGTCCATTTCCCCCACGTCATGCAATTTCCCTCCGCCACTCAACTTTCCGTGTGTACAAAAACAGGGTACGGGGGCCGGGGGGGAGGGGAAGGTGGATGCCCTGCATGCATGCATGCTCTGCCAGATACCGAGCTTTGTTGTTTCATGCGTTATCATAACCGAGTTGTGTTTTGTGGGGCGGGGCTTGGAAACACCTAAAGGTTGACTCAAATCTAGTCTGACTCGCGATTTGAGTGGCTCTTCTCCAACAGTTGAGGCACGAATTGGCAGTTTGTAAGAACCGACTCAACTCTCGACTCGGCTCGACTCGACTCATGACCATGTCTCATCATGACCATGTCTCATCATGACCATGTCTCATCACCATGTCTCATCACCACGTCTCATCACCACGTCTCATCACCACGTCTCATCACCACGTCTCATCACCACGTCTCATCACCACGTCTCATCACCACGTCTCATCACCACGTCTCATCACCACGTCTCATCACCACGTCTCATCACCACGTCTCATGACCACGTCTACGCTGCCTGCTTTTCCCTGCCTGTTCTGCCCTGCGTTTTCTCGTTGCTTTATGCGCGCAACACCAGATAGTGAGGTGGTGGAAGGGCGAGGGCGGGCGGGTGGACTTCACGAGCGAGGCAGCGGTGGCGTTCTGGCAGGCGGCCATTAACGCCACGCTGCAGTGGCCCACGGCGCGCGGCTTCAAGTGCGACGACGGCGAGGGCAACTACTTCCACCCCGGCGCTGCCTTCCACGACGGCTCGCCCCTTTCAGTCATGAAGACCCGGGTCAGCCGCCCTCCTGCCACGCCGTCCCCCGCCCTTCTTTGCCCTGCCCTCCCCTGCATTGCGTGCTGCATGCTGTATACTTACTGCTGCATGCTGTATACTCACTGCTGCATGCTGTATACTCACTGCTGCATGCTGTATACTCACTGCTGCATGCTTCCATCCGTGCATCCTCGCATGTGTGCATCCTCGCATGTGTGCATCCTCGCATGTGTGCATCCTCGCATGTGTGCATCCTCGCATGTGTGCATCCGCGCATGTGTGCATCCTCGCATGTATGCATCCTCGCATGTGTGCATCCGCGCATGCATGCGCCATGGCAGTACGTGGAGGTGTATCTGGCGGCCATGGGGGCGTTCATAGACAAGTACCTGCACGGGGACGGGGTGCTCATGGCCAGGAGTGGATTCACCGGCACCGGCAAGTGAGTGCCACACCGCTCATCACTTTCAGAAACCGTCAGCAAAGACTGAGTTCTTGACTGTTGAATCATCCCGCCAAGCCGATCTCTGGGTAGGGTCCTGCCTTTCCTTGTCTTGCGGTGCCCACCTCAAGGTGCAGACTCCACGGTTTTCTAACCATTTGAAGCCATCGCCGTGTGTTGTGAATGTGGTGTGGCTGTGTGTGTGGCGCAGGTCGTTCGTGTGGGCGGGCGACCAGCGCGCCAACTGGAACCGCACGGAGGGCTTCCCGTCGGTGATCATGGCGGGGCAGACGGCTGGCTTGTCGGGGTTCTTCCTGTGGGGCAGCGACATCGCGGGGTACTTCGGCAAGACCATCGACAAAGAGCTCTTCATCCGCTGGAGCCAGTTCGGGTGCGCTGTGGGGAAGGGGGGGGAGGCGGGGGGGTGGGGTGGGGGGGGGGGGGTTGGGGAGGGGGTGTGGGTGGTGCGGGGACGGGGGGAGGGGGGGTGCATAGGTTCCCAAGAGTGAGGTCAGAAAAGAGATGATTCGCAAGACATGAATCGCATTGAGAATGGGCCAGCGGACTCTTACAAAGGGCATCACGGATGTCAAAACGAGCTCCACCAAGGTGAGAAGAAAATAAATCTACCTTCTAGCAAATTAAGCGGTTTAATCTATTGCTATTACTATTGGAAAATAAGAAGAACACAATGATTCTGGTGTCACACACGATGAAGATCTTAGCTGCACAGAAGGTTGCCTTGTCAGACAGAGGCATTGGATGCAGGAATGAGGGCAGTTGACAAAGAAGGTCTTTGCGAGCACACGGGCACACGAGCACACTAGCACGCTTACCAGCAAGGGCACCATGGCGTTCTGGCAGTGTTTCGTATGTCCATGTACTGTGTGAGAAACGAGTGCTTACCTTCTCTTACTGTTTGCTATTCCGTAGAAAGAGCAAGGGTATAATCTAAGTAAGACAGATGAAAGAGGAGGAGGCGATGATGGATAGAAGCAAACACAACCTTTCAACATCCCGAATGAGCCGACTGAGGTCACCTGCTTGCGTTCCTTGACCCGCACCTCCTCCATCGTGCCCCCCTATGCCCTGATGCGCTCCCCCACCTGATGCACCAGTTCAGGCAGGCATCAACGTTGTTCTCTTCATTCCTCCCCACCCCACTTCTATCCTCGTGTCCTCCCCCCCGCCTTCCCCAGTGCGCTATCCCCGTTGATGCACCAGTTCGGGCAGGCCAACAACGGCCCGTGGGACTACGACGCCGTCACGCTGCGCATCTACCGCCGCTTCGCCCGCCTGCACATGGCGCTCTTCCCCTACCTCAAGGCCGCCGCGCTCGCCAGCGCCACCGCGGGCCAACCCATCATCTGCGCCATGCCGCTCGCCTTCCAAGGCGACCCCGAGGCTGCCTCCCCGCAGTGGCAGTGGCAGTACAGGTTCGGCCCGGACCTGCTGGTGGCTCCGGTGTACGAGCCTGGGGTGACACAGGCGACAGTGTACCTGCCTGGGGGCAGTGCGTGGGTGCACTTCTGGGCGCCCAACGGTGTGCTCCTGCAGGGCGGGGCCGCTGTGCAGGTGGCGGTGCCGCTGCATGAGACAGCGCTGTACGTGCGAGCGGGTGCGCTAATAGAGAGTATAGAGGAGGACGTGGACACGCTGGTGCCGCCCTCCGACAAGCTGCACCCCGACGTCAAGACCATCGGCAGGTGCGCTCTGCACACCCATCCCCTCCCTCACCCTCGCACATCCCTCCTTATTTCCGCAGCCTGCACCTTCATCATGCCTCGTGTTACTTCCCTCTCGCCGGCCCACCATCTCCAACCCCTTCCCCCCCTTCTGTGGGCTGCACAGTGTGCGCATCCTGCAGGTGTGGCCGGGCATCCCCTCGCAGCCATCATCGCTGGCATCGCTGCTCGCCCCCTTCCACGCCATGCTCACCACCCGCCCCGTGCCGCAGGCGCACGGGCGGCACCGTGTGGTGCTGCAGCTGCGGGCGAGTGAGCGAGTGGAGCTGTCGCTGCGCTTCATGCACGGGCAGCGCCTGCGCCAGCCCAGTGTGCGGCGCAGCAAGCGTGAGCAGGTGGGCGTGGCGTGTGCGGCCGGCAACTACCTGGGCGTGGAGGGGCTGCACTGCGCTGTCGTGCTGGAGGCGGGGGTCACCGAGGTGGCGTGGGAGTATGGCGTGTAAGGGACACCGGGGACTTCATAAAAAAATAATTGAAAAAGGTTAGGGTGAACATGATGGAAAATGACCTGAATATAAAACATCAAACAGGTTACAGCAGTGTTTTGAGGCTATATTAATGATCTGTGGGGGGGAGGAGGGGGGGGGGGTCTTTCATTAGGCAAACTGTGTTCTTACGTCGAAAAGTCCGAAATCGCTGAGTCAGCGATGGTGCCTCGTTGTGCCCACCTTCAATATGCTTTACGAAGGGCACATCTGATGCCAGCATCAGGGCTCTCGTTATCAGGGTAAAACACCCTGATTGCCCTGACTGGCGGCCGCTTTTTTTCAGTTACCCTTTCCCAGGAAGGGTAATGGGATTTTTACCCTAGGCCAGAAAGTGTAAGTTTTTTTTTACCCTTTGAAAAACAGCGTATCGGATTTATTTCTCTGACTTGTACAGGGTAAGATCTCAACTATACTGATACCGAACGCTCCTTAGCGAGACGAATCACTACTCGAGCACCTGCAAAATAGTCCCACAGCGAGAATCAAACGTGCGACCCTACAGATCTACTACGATAACATTCCAAATGAGCCACGAAGTGTTGAACAAGTGAATTTCTGCATTTATTTATACACATATAACGTGTACCAAAAAAATTACCCTGCTTAAACAAACTTATAGTTTTTTTACCCTGATTTTGGCAGGGAATTTTTTTTTTACCCTACGCATCAGGGTTGACTATACCTAGAACCCGTGGCCCAAAACGAATCTGAAGCCCTCGCCAGCATGAACCAGTCACCTCCCATGGGGCAGATATCAAATTCGGGCCGAAAAACAGTAGGAGAGTGACCAAAGTAGGGCCGCGTGTGTCGCACCTCTAGAACGCAGGTCCGATCCGAAGCTGCACACGCTGTCAGAATTATGAGGCAGGAATGGCTTCACTAGCATGAGTGACAAGCATGCAATTTGACACACCCCCATAGGCAAACAGGGAGATAGCAAGAACAACCAACGGTCACAAGACCAATCAAGGAACAAAGCAAAGCTCAGGGTGGATCTCAAGATCACCACACAGACTGAGCACAAGCAAGCGACCACAAGGCCAGTACACATGCAGAATTATAAAAGCACAAGCAGTGCAGTGATCACAACCTAGCAAGAGCAAGCATGCATGTATATATAGATAGATCACAGTACAAGACAAGTCAAGCAACCTGCAGGTGAGGCGGAGTAGGCACAAGGCCTAGATCAATGCAGAAACGCTGATGATCACCAGGCACAAGGGCCTTGGTGAAGACATCAGCAGTGTTGGCCCGAGAAGCCACGTAAGCAAGGCGCAACTGACCACGCTGCTGCAACTCTCAAGCAAGAAAGTAAAGAAGAGCAATGTGCTTCGTTCTGTGCTCCAGCCTCTGCTCTCGACACAAGGCAATCATGGCCTTGTTGTCAACGTACAGAACTGGAGGAGAACGAGGTCGCTCACCCAAGTCGGTCAGAAGGTAGGTCAGCCAGCGTAACTCCTGTGCAGCCATAGCCCCAGGGTAGATCTCGGCCTCACAGTTGGAACCAAGCATAGAAGACGAACGAGTAGACCTCCACGAGACAGAATCAGAGCCGAGACTGAAAGAGTAACCATGTGACGACCGCTGAGTCGCCTGGTCGTCGGCCCAAGAAGCGTCAGAGTGTCCTGTGAGTACCATTGAGCCCCGTCCTCCAAGCACAAGCCCCATGCTCGATGTACTGCACAAGTAACACAGCACCCTCTTAGCAGCCCGCCAGTGGTCTGGTCGGTGTCTCCCGGGCGCAACGTAGCGCGCCAGGATGCTGAGAGGGTACGCAAAGTCAGGTCGAGTGCAAGTCATCAGGTACATGAGGCAGCCCACAAGCTCTGGATACTGACCACTCGCCTCTACGGACTCGTCCGAAGCTGGAGCTGAAAGCGAGTGGCCTGTAGGCACAGGAGTGGACTGTGGCGAGGAGAACTGGAAGCCGATGCGTTGAAAGACCTGGGCCATGTGTGACTTAGTCACAGTGATGGTGCGCCGTGCTCTGTCCTGGGTGATCTGCAAGTCAAGATAGCTGCGCAACTCACCCAGGTCAGTGCAGGTGTGTCTCTTCTGCAGCTCCGCCTTCACAAGGGTCAGCGCCTCAGTCTTGGGAGTAGCAAAGACCAAGTCGTCGACGTACACGAGGATGTAGAACGGCAGCAGAGAAGGGTCGGTGCGCAGAAACAGCGACGGGTCAGCAGTCGAAGGAGTAAACCCAAGAGCCGCAAGTGTTGTCCTCAGTGTGTCGTGCCACTTGCGGGGCGCCTTGCGGAGACCGTAGACTGGCCGCCGGTGGCTCTACTGGGTACCCTCAGGAAACGACCTAGTGAAGGCAGGTGGGCGGCGCAGCCAGATCTCTTCGTGAAGGCTGTCCTGCTGGAAATTTGTGGAGAAGTCGAGGGAGTGCAGCTCGTAGTCACGCTGCGCTGCAACGTGCAGTAACACCCGAAGAGAAGTCATATTTGGGTGGGGGAGAAGGTTTGGAAGAAGTCGACCCCCTATCGCTGACTGAAGCCTCGAGCAACGTAACGCGCCTTGAAGGCACGCGGAGAACCCGACGGTTGTTTCACTCTGAAAATCCACATGCCGTCGACTATGTTCGCCCAAGGAGGGGGAACTCCGTCGACGTAGGTGCCTGTGGACTTCCAGGAAGCCATCTCTGCGTCCATGGCTGTTTGGCACTGAGAGGAGTACTCACCCGTGATCGCCTCTGCGTGAGTGCGCGGGGTCGGGATGTCTAGTGCATCCGGATCTCCCTCAAAGCAAAGTAGCACGGACGCGAGATGAGGTACAACAACCGCTAGGCACTCAAGCTCAAACGTCCTGGCCTCAAGGTCGTCACTGCCAAGGGCAAGCTAACCCCCGACGGACGGATGACAGTCAGACCCAGACTTAGTAACAAGACTCGTGACGTAGTCGAGACGACAGGTAGCAGCAAAGTCTACAAGCTCAGTGACTAAGGTAGACACATCAGTAAACTCAAAGGAAGGGTCCGTGACAAGGGTGGCCATGAACGCATGACAGTAGGACTGGCAGCACGAGCAAGGTCAGACTCAGGGTCAGGAACGTCAGGAAGAGAGGACGCCGGAGGAGACAGCAGGGCAACAGTCTGTGGAATAGAGGAAGGACGAACTTCCATAGTGTGTGTGCCGGGGACAGGTGGAGGACGAACACGACGAGTACGACTAATAGTGCGAACAGGCGAGGCAGGGCGAGCCGCAGGCTCGCGACGCTCTGTCAGGGATTCTGTCTGCTCAGGGTAAGGAGAAGGAGCAGTCAGTGGGGAGCCAGGCTGTAACTGGTTAGGCGGAGAACACAGTAGAGGTCGAGTAAGGCCCGTGGAAGACAGAAGACTAACCTGGCGATGTGCCGAGTCGGGTGGTGGTAGTGACGACTGCGGCTGCGGGAAGAAAAACAGTCGCTGGTGTGAAGTACCCACAGTACCTAAGCCTCCAGCTCCAGTACCTCCAGCACCAATACCTCTAGTTCCTGTACCGCCAGTAGCTCCAGCACCTCCAGCTCCAGCACCTCCAGCACCAGCAGCTCCAGCACTTCCAGCACCTCCAGCTCCAGTACCTCCAGTACCTCCAACTCCAGCACCTCCAGCACCAGTAGCTCCAGTACCTCCAGTACCTCCAGCTCCAGCACCTCGAGTACCTCGAGCTCCAGCACCTCCAGCACCAGCACCTCCAGCACCAGCAGCTCCAGCACCTCCAGCACCTCCAGCTCCAGTACCTCCAGTACCTCCAACTCCAGCACCTCCAGCACCTGTAGCTCCAGTACCTCCAGTACATCCAGCTCCAGCACCTCGAGTACCTCGAGCTCCAGCACCTCCAGCACCAGCACCTCCAGCACCAGCAACTCCAGCACCAGCAGCTCCAGCAGCTCCAGCACCTCCGGCACCTCTAGCTCCAGTACCTCCAGCTCCAGTACCTCCAGCACCAGCACCTCCAGCACCAGCACCTCCAGCACCAGCAGCTCCAGCAGGTCTAGCACCAGTACCCCAAGCACCAGCTATAGAGCGGCCTCGTCGAATAACCCACTCGCGAAGCTGCTGCGGTGAGAGAGTCTCCTGTCAACGAGACTGCTACTGCTGTCCAACGCAAGAACCTCCAGTAGGAGCACCCACGACTCCACCACCACTAGGACTCGTAGCACCCCCAGAGGCAGCACCCCCAGAGGCAGCACCCCCAGAACCTGCACCCTCAGACTCAGCACCCCCGGAATCAGCACCCCCAAGACCACCACCCCCAGAGTTCGCACCTCCAGTGTCACCACCCCCACCTGCATCGGAGTCTACAGCAAGAGGTTACAGAGGCGGCGAAGACGGCCGAGGCAGAAAACCAGGAGGGGTCTCCAAGCGCGGTGAGCGGCGAGTGGCCGATGTGTCGTCAGCAGCAGCATCACCCCCCTCAGCTGGGCCAGAGGTGTCAGAGGAGACTTCCAAAGGCTCAACCAAGGGGGGTGGGTCGACCCGATTCACACCTGAGGGAGCAGGACCCTGTGGGGGGAGAGGGTCTACTAGGGTGGGGGGGGACCTCGAACTAGGAAGAGAGGTGGGGGGGGGACGGGGGAAGACGCGTGGGGTGGAGACGGTAGAAGCAAACCGACTCGTCAAAGGTGACGTCCTGGGAGGACAGGACGCGTCGATGGCATGAACCCGCTCTTAAAGGGACTCTTCACGCATGGATATACCGTTGACCCCGAAGTCACCCTAGCAGAGAAGCGTCATCTTCTGCATTGGGATCAAAACTTGGCATACTGGAAGGGATCAACGAATATATGGGTACCTAATTACCCACTTTTACGCCACTTACTTATAGAAGAATATCGTGACGTTCTCTACGCGGGCCACTTCGGTAGTAACTAGACGCTTGCCCGTATCACGAAGCGTTAATATTTGTTATAGTCACAATAGGCTTGAATGTGCCTAAAACGAAAGATAGAGAGCACAAACGGATTTCTGCACA